GAAACCGACTGACAATGAAAACATATTTTTTTCGTCTATTTCTAGGTATATATTCAAATGTTTATACACGTGAATCAGTTGTTTACTGATAAAGATTGAAGCACGTGACCAACATCCTTTTAACGTTAACTTCAGGAAATACAATGACATTGATCCGAAGCCAACTTCATTCTTATTTATCCTCATTCAATCCTCTTAATTTGTGAAAAAACAGGATGTGAGTTGAATTTCAAATGAAATTGCTTTTATACATTTTAATGCCATCCGCAAAAGCAAGTTCACCGTTCGTAAAAAAGAAACAAAATGAAAGGGACTGGTAAGTGCCTCGTAAATTCAACGCAGAGGGAGGTCACTTAGGGAGATCTTTTAACACGGCAAATTCCCAGTATAAACCGGTAATTTTACCTCATAATATCAACTTACATCATAATATGTTCAAGATATGGGAAAAAATTGATTGGTAAAATAATAACTTTCGCTAGAACATCAGCCTCACATAATATTTTACATCACGATTCTACATCACTAATGGCCGTTGCGTCAGTGCAAGGATTATCATAACTATCCGCAATAAATAACTTTCTACAGAGGAAATTGAGAACGGTTGATTTTTTACGGAATTCGTATCAGTATTCATATTGGCGCACACTTTCGATGCGATTGCTTTGTCGCATTACAATCGACCTTTCGCGAATTCGAGAGTGCGCGCCGTGTGCGTATTCCGCAAGTCGATCAAAAGGACTTTCTCGATTGCAAACCTTTAGAGGAAAACTGGTAAAGGATTCTACAGTTACACTGCACTTGCTAACTTGAAGTATTTATATTAAGGTCTATTTTTAACGAGAACTTCTATTCACGAGACTTAATTCTTAGAATTTAGCCGACTTGTTGCTAATCATAAATTCTTTAACCCATTATGTTATGTTAGTTATGTATGTATGCAAATCTATGCATAGCAACGAAGGTCCTCTAAAAATAAGATTACCACTCAAAAGTAGCGAAACGAGTCTACTTCCCATTTCTGAGAAAAAATAATGCGTTACGTAATATGTTTTTATCGAAATCTTAAAACTGTGGGGAAACTACCTACCTGCATTTTAATTTGTTTAGATTAATAATGAAGATGGTCACATGTCTATTGAGGTACGATAAGTGAGGATTGAACTAAAGGAATTGCGTAAGATTTTATAGTGTAAACAATAGGTACTTACAGAAAATAATAGCAATCAGTAATTAGTATTACAATTTATAAAATAAAAATTATGTTGCCCTAGTTTGCGTATGCCATCAGAAAGATGGCAAAAATATTTTAATAGGCAAAAGAGCAGACGGATCACCAGATGTTAGGAGATAAGCGCCGTGTTAAGTACCTACCATAAATAGGAAACTATTCAATTCCAGTAATAAGTTCAAAAATCAACCATGAACCGTGACCCGTAATGAACGCATTGAGTGCATACTGCATATCATCAACAGATATCGAATGTGCGTGTATGTGTGTTGCAAGCGTTGCATCAGTGCATTGTTGTTCGTTCTGCCAATGTAGCCGCTGACGTGACAATTGAAGGATATATCATATAGGTAGGTATAGAAAACGTATATGCTAATACAGACTGGTAAACTTAAGGAAAATAGTTTCACAGATTTCGAAAGATATTTTCCGACGCATTTGGTGAAAATTTTTAGTCAATCATCATTAAAATATCAGGCAATCTTTGATAGAAATAGGGCAACAGCTGGAATAACTCTAGAAGGTTAATCTGAACCTTTTAAACGGCGATCTTCCATCCATCCCGGTAAGTGCGGATATTAAAGCAGACCTTATTTATGTAGCTCTATAGTCCAAGACTGGCTGGAATGTATACATTGTGCAGGGTAGTTTAGTAATGAAAATCTTACATTTTCATTTATAACCAATATGACAACGTGGTAGGACGAGGAGGGCAGCCGAAGATTCGCTGCACTGTCGTCTGTCTACGTGCGTTTTGCCACGATAACGATACATTGGTGATGTAATAAAAAATGGGATTTTCTGCATTTCCTTTGGGTTTCTGAAATTATTTCATACCCTGTCATTTTAGTATGGAGATTATTCTATCGTCCGGTATAAAAAATGAGTCCGTATAGGAAAAAATCCCAAGATAAATGAAGCCAGGAAATTATAATCAGCCAGTCAGCCTCGGCATTGGAAGAGCAAAACATTTATTTACGTAACAAGATTAATTTCGAAGATAAAGACAACACAAGAATAATAAATCAAAAAGATAATTACAAAGTATTAATCATGAATTTGCTTTACAGAATTAGCGCTATCAAAACAAATAAACCTACTTATTCTTTGATATAATAAATCTCCAACTTTGTTTATTTTTGGACATTATTTGGAGTTTGGAGCAGTCGTCAGGCGTAAAACCGCGAAAAGAGACGGAGAAACAAGCAAACAAAACCACATTTGAACATCATTAAAATTGAGAAGAGACAAAATTAAATATAAAATTGTGTTTGAAACATAGGTACCTAAATACCACTTTTTAAAAGCGTGTCTCACAAATCGGGGCGTATCGCAGACGTCTCAAGCGACAATAACCTCGGTCCTTACCTACTCCTTAGACAGCCGAGGCCAATAGCACCTGTTATAAGATGAAACAAAGGTTGGGTTTGTCCACAACTCATAAATTTTTCCACTACTATTCTTATTGTTTGACTGAAATAACACGCCTGTTTTCGAGACAGGGTTTACCCTGTCTAGAAGAGCACAGTACACAAGAAGGAAAGAAAGGTACACTGACTTTTTCAGTAATTTTATTGGTCCCAATCAATTAGAAAGGGAACTTGCTAAACCATCTTATGTACCTATACAGACAGGTAGATGTTTTTAGTAGAATATCAACTTTTTTTTCTTTGTGTTAGAGTTAAAAATTAAACATAAGGGTAGGTTAATCCATTGGCAGCTATGTGGATTTGCAAATCAGTTGTTGTCAAATCCTAATGATGTGTGTATTGTGCACACATTAAAAGTATGCACAAACAAGTTTTATTTACTAATAAATATGTAAATGTGTGTACAACAAATGTAATGTATAATTTGTTGATTGATTGACTTACTACAATCATAGTTGTTTGAATTTGTACAATACTGAGTATGTTTATGCTTTGTTGTTGAAGATTGCGAGATGCCTGTTATCACAGTAAAAAATTGTCATTAAAACTAAAACTTATCACTCAATAAATAGATCGGTAAAACCATTAAAATATGTTTATTAAATTATTTTGTGATTCCCAAGATATAATTTTATCAACAAAACAAAAGATAGCCAGGTTAACTACCTAGTTAGATAAGCAATTAGTTAAAAGATTAGATTACCCTACTGTTGTAAATAAAACCCAATGATAAAGAATTGCATTTTAAAAACACAAAGAACTTATATTCAATATATTTGACTATTTAAACTGTCAAACACCAAGCGGTCACCGGTGACCGCAACCTATTGTTCTTTAATTGTGTCTATAATGAAGGTACTCAACGAGTTAATGGATGTAAAAAAAAAAACTGAAATATATGCATTCAAAGTCTTGAACAAGTGCCATTATTAGTCAACTACCGAGAGAATTTATCATTATGAACAGAAAAAACCTCATAACATTTTATGTTTGCCTGCGGAAACATTTTTATGACATCTACAAGGTAAAATATTGATAAAAGCCTTTACATTCCCGTAAATATTAACACAAAAAGAATCTCCAGTAACTAGTTTATACTGACTTTTGTAGCTGCAATACAAACATTAGCATATTCAGTATTTTGAATAAGTATCTTCTACTTTACAAAACAATATTGAGGTTGAATAACTTGTTTTGTGTGTTAGTTAGGCATCATTTGCAGACTAGGTAGTATTCCAGATACACGAAAATATACAGAGACCATATTTAGGAGAGTTTGTTACCCAATGCATCAAAAAAAAGACAACCATAATTGTTACATGAATTAATGAAGTTTCTAGCTACAAAGGTTAATCTAACGAACTTTAAAATACCTTATTATAGGCATCATGCAACTTATATTACTCAAACATTATTATCATCATGTTATCTATTTGTGTTTTATAAATGGACAAAAACAAACATTGCACAGTAATGATTTGTAATAAAACACTTTTTAAATCTGTTATTATTTTTCTTATGCAATGTTATTAAAGGAATAACAAAATAATTTGCTGTGGATAATGGGTGTTTTTAGGAAATACTGACTCCTTAATACAATATTCACGCTATTTACATTTGTTGAACAAAACTTGTGAGTGAGACAGCTATCAGACAAGCAAGGCAATAAGAATGGATGTTATGTAAATCTATGAATCTAAATGGTGCTGGCACTCATTTTACAGATAAACTATGAGTTCTGTGCCAATTTTATTTATTGTTGGAGCACAGATACAGTGAGGTACTGCTCTAAATATTATTGTTCACAGACAAGGCGACATTATCTCTGCCTACTGGGGGTCAAACTAAACATTGATACTATTTGATACCCGCCACAATAAGGTTTATCATCATTGAAACGTCTGCAGCTACAGTATGTAGTATTGACTAGACATTATGTGCAAGGAAGTGGCTACTTAAGAACGCTGTGATCGAACTTTTATTGCCACACAAAGCAACAAATTGGGACTTTTATGGACCGTAGGAAACACAATAGTGGGCAAATTGATATCGACGCACGTTGCCGATGCACAGTATGTGTTTCGTAACAAAGAGCGGATCGTATGACGGTGCAGTGCAGCGGCGCACCAGTGAAAGTGACTAGTTAACTTCAACCACACGCACTGCCTATGTTCACGGTCACTACAGAAACCCATACAATACTAAACAATCTGCACTATCCCAGCGCTGATGGCGATATTATCGCTAACAAACAATATCTGACAATAGTAACGGTATCCTCGCTATAGTCTGTATTTTTTATCGATAAGAGCAAATGAGCCAAGTGTGGCATATCTTACCTTGTAGTAGACGTCCATGCGGACGGTGTCCGGGATCCCTTGGAGCACATTTCTGTCGCACTTAGATTTCTGCAAGTAGTTCACTAAATTTGTCAGGCACAGCTCGTACAAATTATCGGGTATTTTCTTTGCGCGCATCGCTGACGAAGACGCGTCAGCCATTTTGCTTGGGTAAAAGAAAACTCGATTCAATTTACTAGCCGATGTCAGACAGGCCAAGATTTGCACGAACTTCACGCAGTTTGCTGTGTTTCTATTGGTCACAAAAAAGCTTATCAATAAGCTCAAAATAAGACTAGCTCCGATTGGTTACATCGATTGTTGAAAAGTCTAACTCAAATAACTATAACTATCTCTTTCTATCATAGGATTTCTGAGCGGTGGATTGAAAATGTGAGAAGGAGACAGAAAAAATATATTTCTGCAGCTGAGCGAATAAACAGCTGACTTGGAATACCAAATGCCATTTTGCGAAATGTCAGCTGACTCAGGATACGCGGGAAAAATGAATGATTTAAATTGTCAAAGTAGTACATCTACAATTTTTATATATTGAATTTAAATGGATGTTAATCATTTGAATTGAACAAAGAGTGAACAAAAACAACTATTATAAAACAAGTATAACAATCTTGCTGGTAGTTATATCTTTGAGCCGTTTGGGGTTGAGACGCTAGGTCCGTGGGGTCCGTGTGCGCTTAAATTATTCAAAAACATTTCAAAACGCCTGGTTGACACATCTCGTGACCAGAGAGTGGTCTTTTTCTCGGTCAGAGGTTAAGCATTGCCATACAACGTGGCAATGCTGCCAGCCTTCTGGGCACTTTCCCCACTGACGTCGATGCCGACGAATTTTTCGATGCTTTATGTAAATAGTTATTTTTGTTTTTCTTCTATATAATTTTAATCTTAAGTTGTATATATATTTTATTATTAATTTAGTAATAATTAATTTTAATTTTATATAAGTTTTTATTGGAAATTTAATAAATGTATCACAAGAGTGAACTGTCAATTATTTGCAGGGAGCCAGTGGATGTAAGTGGCAAGTTGTCGTTCAACGTGGAGGACTAAGGGGAAGTCCAGCAGTGGACGTCTTCGGGCTGTTGTTGATGAAACGCCTGGTCGACGCATCTCGTGACCAGAGGCCTGGTCTTTTTCGCGGTCAGAGGTTTGCCATACAACGTGGCAATGCTTCCAGCCTCCTGGGTACTTTCCCTATTGACATCGATGCAAAGGAATTTTTCGATGCTCTGTGTAAATAGTTATTTTTAGTTGTCTTTTATTTAATTGTTATCTTATAGGTAGTGTATATTTTTAATGTATACAGTGATAAATGTCATTAACGGACACTAGATTAGTATCGATAGAAATTAATGTTGATATAATAGAGGCAAGGACGTGGACGTTGAAAATGTTCTGCGTCTAAGTCTATAATAACCAGGTGCCGCCAATCGGTCGGTGAAGTGGTCTCTTCGAGGGTGAATCATTTTCAGAGTTAAAATTACAGCATCAACTCTGAATACATTGTACTTCTTAAGTAAGTGCCTAGTTTCTCGCTTTTCGAACATTTTCAGATGTAGCTCATACCCACACAATACAGTACAACGGGGTGAATAGAATTCGAGGGATGAATAGATACAGAAGAGGGGTGAAAATATTCTAACACTTATCCATCCCATTCCTGTATCTATTCACCCGTCGAATTCTATTCACCTCGTTTTGCGGTAATTCACGAGAAGCGTGTTCGGTTTGTATCTTTCATATTCATTATTAGCGTTTAAGTTTAGAATCTAATATAAAGAAAATGTCGAGTAAGGGTAATGAAACAATAAACAAATTAATTGGAACAATTTTATTGAGACAATAACTAACATATAACTAACATTAAACAAAACATCACCATGACACAACTAAATTATTTTAAAGCTGTCTACAGCATAAATGCTTCACTCCTTGCAGCCTCAGTATATGAGAGTTGCTTATTAAAATATTTCAAGAACTTGACTGAACAATTGCTAGCAACTACAATGAATTCAAGTTTAGTCTAAATTAGATCTTCTATGATGTTAAATTCGGTTGAAATCTGTACAGTAGTACAAATTTTAGATACCACCTCAGAAGGGTTAAGGGTAAAATTGATCGATTAAATAGACTCATAAGTTTATATGTAATAACAAAAAGAATACTGTATGCTGAACATACACGGAGTTACAGGAACAACATAATATCCAAAATGCTTGGATATTTCGAAACAATATGGCTGAATTTCGTAGCTGTTCATATTTTTGATCCTATGGTTCTTATTACAGAAAGTGGTGTGTTACTATTATTACTTTCCGATGGTAAACTGGGACACAGATTCAAGGAGCTTTATGTATGCGCTGTGTTCATACGCCGTGCTGAAGTCAGATAGTTTGTTCACAAACTCGTTGCTGATGCCTTTCTCCTCTAGCAGGTTCATCAAAAGGTCGTAAAGATACTGAAAAAAGGGAACAAATGTTAAAATACATTATTATAATATATAAAAACTTCATTCCGACACATTTATGACAAGAAATAGTCAAAATAGCAAAATTATTGAAGTGAAAAAATGCTTCATAAAATATTCGAATTAACAAAAATAATGCCGTATTTTAATTATTTCAATAATTTTGTATTAAAAACAAATGTAGCACGTCAATGAATATCCCGTCAACACGTAACGAGATCGACTTCACTTCGATGCATCAATTTACCCCGATTTTGGCACCTGACAACTACTTGTGTGATAGTATCAAGTGTGGCATAGAAATGGGGCGGCTCGGAATCGAACCCGAGACCACTGCTTCGCAAGTACACGTGTTCAACTATTGTGCTATAGGAACTTTAGAAAATAAGGTGAATTTTAAAGTCAGTAGGAGTTTAGCAAAATTTTACTTCATACTGTTTTGTTAATGATGATTTCTGTCAATTAACTTTACTAAGAGCGAGGATTTTTATGAAATGGATAAACTAATAAGTAGGATAAAAAAATATTTTTGTTACCATTTTATACCATTCTATCATAAAATACAATTCTAGAATACAGCTGATAAAACAGTAGAGCAGAATAACTAACTTCGCGTAATCAACTTACTCCGTCAAGGACGTCTCCCGCGACGGCATACACTTTGTCATTCCATTCTCCTTTGTAGATGGTCACCTCGTCGATGCCAAACACGTCATCTGCAAAGGGAGAGTTCTTTAGTCCATAGGTTACAGCTTTCAGTTAAGAGATGAAGCGTTAAGATATAATACAATAATAATTTTGAAAAGCCTGTTCACAAAATTCAATACTGTATGAAAATTTGAGCATTCATTCTAAATTTACAAAATAAAATGGTGTACAAACGGATTCATACATTTCGTTTTAATTGTTTTTAGACAGATTAACATTTTTTTTATC